GAGAAATCACCCCCCGGGGGGATGGTCACGCTGCAATCCCTTCTCCTCCATTCTCCTCTCGGGATCTTGGGCACACACGCACCCCCGCCTGGCGTGAGTTTAAGCCACCGGGTCCGGGATTCAAACCACAGTCGGGAGTCCAGAGACAAAGCCATGACGTTAAATGCTGGTCCTAATTATTATTATTATTATTATTATTATTACTTTTTTACCAGATGCAGACAGGGACAGAGAGAGAGAGAGAGAGAAAGCAAGCCACCAGGTCTGGGACTCGAACCGTGGTCAGTCGTGTGGGAGTCCAGCGTCTTCGCCACCTGCTGGCCCCAAGCAGGAGCTTTCTGGATGGTGCACTCGCAGCCCTGGAGGTTGGACGGAGCGCTCAGAGGGGTCGCAGCCATCTGGAAGGATGATAGCAGGGAAATGTCCCCGATGGCCCGCTGCACAGGGGCAGGGCGGGCTGCCGGTCAGCGACAGCTCCACTGGGGTCAGTCCTCTCTCCAGAGCTGGAAAGTTCTAGACGGCCCCGTCACACACCTGGAAGTTGGTCTACCTGCCAACTGAGACCTCAACAGGCTTACAGCCACTGAGAGGCTTCGTGGATCCGGAAGGTTCTATGTGGCCATTGGCTTAGTGGAAATCGGGCTGAACGGCAGCTGACAGCCCCAGCAGTTGGTCACTGAGAAGCTTCGTGGATCCGGAAGGTTCTACGTGGACATTGGCTTAGTGGAAATCGGGCTGAACGGCAGCTGAGAGCCCCAGCAGTTGGTCACTGAGAGGCTTCGTGGATCCGGAAGGTTCTAGATGGAAACTGAGCTGTCAGTCAAGAGAGCTTCCCTGGGCTGAAGCCATCTGGAGAGCGGATTGACCAAGAATGTTCTAGGTAAGAGCCAGCAGGTGGCGTGGTGGTGAAGAGGCTGGACTCCCACAAGGCTGACAGAGGTTCAAGTCCTGGACCTGCCGACGTGCTTACTCACTTGCCTTCTCTCGCTCTCTCTAGAACACGTGCTCTATAATAAATTAAAACGTAATAGTAATAGTTGGGACCAGCAGGTGGCGTGGTGGTGAAGGCGCTGGAATTCCCACAGGATCAGGTGTGGTTCGAGTCCTGGACCTGGCGGCTTGCTTTGTCTCTCTCTCTCTCTCTCTCTCTCTTTCTCTGGTAAAACTCGTGTGAACAAATAATAATAAATAAATAAAATAAATAATTCTAAAAAAATAATAATTATGGGACCAGCAGTTGGTGTAATGGCTATGTTGCTGGACTCCCATGTAGTCGACCGCAGTTCGAGTCCCGGACCCGGTGGCTTAAACTCACGCCGGGCTCGTGTGCGTGCGTGCCCAAGATCCCGAGAGGAGAATGGAGGAGAAGGGATTGCAGCAT